ATCAAAAACCACCGGGCTCAAATCCATAATAGAGATCCACTCGGACCACTCCCACCACTCATATTGAGACTACATCCAGTGAACCCAAGCTTCTAGTCCGTCTTCGGGTACGGATGGGATCGACGGCAGTGCATGGGAGGACGCCCGGGATGAATGGATGGCCGGCCCTGCAGGTTTCTCAAGGCATGGGATGTGCCAGGTTCCTATAGGTGACGGCGGTGACAGCAGGGCCCTGTAGGTAATGGCCAGGCCCTTATAGGTGACTGCCGGGCCCTGCAGGTAAAATAGCCGACCCCTGCAGATGACCGCCGGAAGATGCCATTTGTACTCGAGTACTAAGACTTCAGTGCCCGGGAATCAGCCCCTAAGAAGGTCGTTTTTATGAAAGACGGACTATGTCCTGCTGCCCTCACCCACCCTGCCCGGGACGCCCAGGACTACAGCCCGCTAAGCCCCTGCAGAGCGCCCGGAACAGTTGGGAACACTGACCACATCCTCTAGTCGTAATCGATAGCGTAGTCGTCCTTGAGTCCCGCAATAACGGTAATTTTGAAAATCGTAAGTAACTTAAACACCTGAGGCTTGAAACTTTTTTTAAAAAAATCGGGGAATCACCCGGTATATACACTAGATGTAAATCGAAGTTAAGATTATTATTTTTCTTTTTTTTTCGTAATTGATTCTACTGCAACTCGTGGCCCTCAGATAGATGAGGAACTCTAATTAATGTGCTTTTACACTGTCCTCTCTTTCACGTTCCTGCACTGTTGTCTACTGTATTACATCGAGTGAGAAATTGTGAATATGATAATAATCTTGATAGCTCTTTTCGCATATTTGCCTTACTAAATTTATTTACCTCTGTATTTTCTTCCTAGGCTTGCTGACTTCTAAACGAGAGTGCCGCCCACTCACAGTATTAGGTATTTATTCTATATCTCCTCGCGGGGTAAAATCCCTAGAAGGAGCGAACTTTAAGGGCAAGTGGCTAGTTTCTAAGAGCTATAGGGTCTCTTCGCGGTAGCTTTTCTGCAAATTGTTTTGTAGAAACCCTAGCTCTTGATAGGCTCGTTAACCAGGAGTATATACTGCTGTGCTCCTGCCTCCCCCCTCACCTTTTTCCCTTCCCTCACTTCCTTCTTTCTCTCTCCCCTCCTCACCACACCCACCACCACCCCAACCAACCTCTCTCTTCACCCATACCTAAACCGCAACCTCAACACCAATCCACCACACAAATTTTTAAAATGACCACTACTCTAGTGTCAGAAACAGCCACCCCCACCAAAGAAAAGGCTCTGGAGGCGCTGAGTGAACTTGTAGACCTCCTCTGCCAAACCCACCACCACGAATTGTCCATTACAAACCCCATTCCCAGCGAGTCCGTCGAGGGATACAGTGTTGTCATCGAATGCTGCGAGAGCGGCATGGTCTGGACCGTGCAGATGTGGGCAAATTGTCGTTTCAGAAGACTCAGGAGCTCCAAGAGGGTTACCATACAAAGCAGTAAGTCTCACACATACTCCGTTCTACGGCAGAGCACACTTACTAATCTGAGAATATGGAATGAGTGTAGCCGATTCCAAAAAGGCGCCCAAAACGTTCCTTCAAACCCTTCAAGTCTGGGATGGGCTCGCGTGCGATGACATTGTTAAGCTTCATAGACTTGGACAGCTTAAGAAGGACTGGTGGAGTTATCCAGTGATGATGAGTGATGAACAAAAGGATGCCATGTAGGTGTATTCCAGGCTAGATTTGCTTTTTTTTTTTTCTTTTCAATTTACACATGTTTAATGGTGGATTGAATGAAAAAGCGACTACTACAATCAAGGACCAACCAACGGGGATCCGGAAAACCAGATGAGAGCTATCGAGGCTGGGTATCAGGGACCAGGGGCGCACAATGTTGCCTACTACCCTCGCGCCGCTCAACAGTCTTCTAGATTGACCAGTGCCCAGTATTAGGATAAAGAGGATGGGACCCCAAGCTGGAAGGAAACCGAATAGCATTAGAATCATATGTCCTGCGAGAGGACGGAGTTTGGGAAGTTCATGTTATGGAAGGTACTACCGCCACTTCTTTTACCCCATGCCTTAACGGCTTACTGACAAATCAATCTTTCCAGTCTTTCCCGTTGTATTCTATGACCACTCCCGAGCGAATCACGGGGTTATTGACTAGCTTCTTCTAAACATACCTTTTTGATAGCTTCTAATATACTATTATTATTTTCGCTTCTTTTTTTCTCCTCTCCCGTCCGGTGATTCCTCAGGCAAACATTTGTGAATCCTCCTATTCTAGTTCCAAGACCTAAGCCACAAGCCCCACAAATACAGAATCCCTGCTGGACCGTGGATAGGGTCCGTTGTAGTGTTTGCCACCAGCTGAGAAGCTCTAAGGCTCTTCTCGAGCTTTGGACTCGAGCTGAGCTCAATCATTTTTCCGACGTTTTTTTCTTCTCAATGTTTCTTTTCAAATCTCGTAAAGGGGGGAAGACGGAGGAGTTGGGACCTGCAGCAGATCCAACCTTGGCACTGAAAACTTGGCTGGGAATACGAGAAGTCGAGGACTGGGAAATCAGGTCAGATGAGAAGGCGGAATTACATGTTGAGGTCGATCAAATCTTCTATGAAAAATTGATTTCCTTATTCTATTCACGAAAAGGGCTTGTTACACCATGCCCGTGGGCAGTAGTATGATGCAATTTCCTTGTTCCCCTTTTTTGTATTTTCCACTTCGAATGCCATTTTCTCCCCTCAGGTCTACTGTATAGTTCTACCTTCAACCTTGCTCAGCAAGTGATATCCTATGTCTACTAACAAATCCAGGCTCGAGCCTATAATGGCAGGCTCGTGTCAAGCACAGTCCGTCAACTTTGCAGTGCTCTGTACCTATAGGTTTCACGTGATCCCCGAGTTGTCTCACTCTGGCTAGTGAAGAAATAATATACACAGTTAATCCTGTCTTGATAGAAAACTTACCTTGCGGGTTCTGGAAAGAGACAGTAGTAGTTGCACCATAGTTGTGGGCCCAACGTGAGAAATAGGTTCTTGGCCACCCAATTGACATGCAGAATGATTGTTAAAGGGTGGGAACTAAAATGGAGAGCCAGGATGGAGCGAGAAAAAGAAAGGCCAGAAAAAAAACAGAAAAAAACAAAGAATTGGGGGATTTGCCTGTACTGGAATTGACTAGAACATCTTTTTAGAACCGGGAGGGCCGAGACGAGCGGAGGCTCAAAATCGAACTATCGTGGGTCTGATCCGCGGCTCGTATTGTATAATTAACAGGGTCAAAATCAAACAGCTCGCACCTAGTGAACCAGGGTCAGCCCGGCCCACACCTTCTGTGTGTCATACACGATCACTCGAATTTTGTGAGATTTTATTTCCTGGCACTGGAATCTCCGGTAAAAGTTTGCAGATTACCCGGGTTGCTGGGAGAATTGGTGCACCGTTCTTGAAGCACCAGCTATCCCAATTGGCTAGTCCAAGTCGGGTTCAACTTATTTCTAACCACCAACTATGATACTCAGGCAACGCCATCTCTCTCTGGTCCTTTTCACACAAGCTTTATTTACTTAAACTATATCAGTACTTGCGCTTTAACTACTGAAATCTCTATCCTAGATCCTCTAAGGTGAACCATTAACCTATTATATTTCAAACCCATGGAGCTATATCCCCTAACTGAACTTGAAAGCTCCCCAAATGCGGTTAACTCAAGGTACTCGGTATTAATAACTATTAGAATGTGCACCTCTTGGCGATTCCTTAAGTATACCTGCATTCGATAATCACTTCATGTTTGCTTCCTATGCAGTAATTACTTTCTTCCTTCGTCTTTCGTTCCTGACTCTAACTCTTTCTCCTTTCTTACCGAGATAACAAATACAACTTTATCTCTCCACTCTTTTTCGTAACAATAACACTAAACCTGCCAGTGAGTTGGGGGGGGTTTTTTTTTTATTGTTTCCACATCCCGGGCCAGTGATTAGTTGACCGCAGAATCCATTAACTTAACTGAAAACAATAGTGGTTTACTCAACTCTTAGCACACCAAATACATATTCCGAGTCAGCAGCTTACCGTTGTAGTTCGCCTTTCTATATTTCTTTCTCTTTTTCCTTCTTTCCATTACCACCTCTCACTATCCCACACAGTATCTGCCATCCACGCCCCCCCAACACCCCCACCAAATGCCCTGTACAGTACAATATCAAAGCAAATTGTGCCTGCCAAAGCAAAAGTGTCACATGGAACCCCAGTCTCTTGGACCTGTGAGGAGGAAGAAAAGGAAAGAATAAATTTTTGTTTGGTGAAACTGGGTTGGAATAAGTGAATGCAATAGTATTATGCAATACTATTGGGAGATAGTTGTAAGATCGGGTACTGTACAGTACTAATGGCATTAAACAAGATGTTAAGAGGGTGAGCTAGCTGTTTTTGGACTACTGCCTCCACTACAAAGTTCCGTTTTTCGACAGCGTTTTTGGACGCAAGTCTGCCGTCAACGCTCAAGCAGATGTGCTGCGTTAAGATGACGCCTGCTTAATACCGGTATCCCTTCCCGGCTGCCATCAAGCTTGCTTCCACTCTTATAAGTAGATGGGTGTTATCCCTTCCCTATCTACTCTCTCTCCAATGCTCCACTCCTATTTCACAACGCACTCTCACAACCCCGGCAGATATGAGAAGCACGCAATGCGAGCGCTTCTTTATGACTACACATCCAGTAGCGATGGATGATTTATGAGTGAGCAAACCATATAAACCAAGAAGCTTTGCATGACCATGAAATTAACCGTTTCCGAAGACGAGATATATTAATGAAGCAGAATATGGCATGATTTTGGCTTCCAAGAGATCTCCGGTATCACATATCATATCCCGTGCTCTTCATATTGTTGTGTCACCACTGCGGCTGCATCCCCCAGGACTATGATATTGTACTGTACAGTACCGCTACTTGTAGACACACCCCTCAACTCACCCATTCCATACATTATATAGGTAACAACACACAGCCTTGCTTCCACCTGGGAAACTAAGAAACCATGACACAACTTCGCGATACCCCACGAAAAGGAAAGGAACCGACAGTCTCTCGTCCAAAAGAGCCAGAGATTGGGGGCAGCAATCATGAAAATCTCGGGGGTATTTGCTACCATTCATCTTTCCAACAGACGTGTCTAACCCGGCAGTGCTATAGAATACCCAACAGACCTCGAAGTCCAACCTTGCATCCCGTTAATATTCGTTATGGGAGTCAGTGGCGCCGGAAAAAGCAGCTTTATCAAAACCCTCGGAGGAAAAGATTCCAAGCAGAAACCTCCAGTGACGAGCGCCACTGAATCAGGTTATTGAAACCCATCCCCCTCACCCACCGGCGTACGCGTGCCAGCCAGGCTAACCCGGGTGCCCCCTACAGTGACCCGTGAAGTGAAAGTTTACAAAACCATTCTGGACGGTCAGGAAATGCTATTAGTCGACACACCGGGTTTTGAAGATAACAAAACATTAAACCCCGAAACATTTCGGATGATCTGCGAGTACGTACTCCAAGTAGCGAATAATCCAGCGTGTATTATCCGCGGCGCTATATACGTGCATAACATTGCTACCTCAAGATGGATTGCTGGTGACAAACGCACCTGGTCGATGCTTAAGAAAATCTGTGGCGATGCTGCCATGGGTAACGTCATTGTCGCAACTACCCGGTGGCCGGCAGATCACGAAGATGAGGACTACGAGAAGCTGGAGAGGAGAAATTTGGAAAAATATTGGGAAGGTATATTAGGGACGGTCAGGCTCGCGAAAAACGATGTCCAACATTCAAGTGCCGCCATCCGGATGTTATTTAGTGTTCATCCGAAACCCTTTCAGGTGCAGTGGGAATTGAGTGATGGGAACACCCCTTCAGAAACTAGTGCCGGGAGAATTTCCATGACTGAGGGTGAGGAGGCGCTAAGTGAGGCGGAAAAGGAGAAGGAATATGCTCTGGCAGAACTTGGGCGAGTCTCTTCTCAGATCGAACCAGTGCGATCGCAAAACGCGCCGAAACCAACTCGACCTCCGCTGCCAGAAACGAAGGGACCGAGTGCCGCCAATCTTAAAAAAGAGATGAATGCTCTCCTGCAACGCTTAGAATCCGCAATACACGCCAGCAAATTGCAAGTCAAGAAGATCAAGAGTTCGGAGAAAACTCTGCAGGAAGAAATCCAGCAAGTCCAAGCATTACTAAAAGAAAAGGAAGACCTACTCAAGAAATACCACCAATTACGCCGCAAGATAGAATCCGCCGACAAACTTAAGGCAAGGCTAAGCGCCTTGCGCACACCGATAAGTACCCGGAAGGTATCTAGGAGAAATCTATTGGCAATGCTGCTAGTGGGAGGAGCGGTCGTGGTGGATATTGGGTCAATGAGTTTCCCTTTCCACGGATTTGCTGCTTTCGGCGGGGTGCTCCTATATGAAGGAGTGACGGGGATGATGTCGAAAAACACGAATAGTACACCAAAGAAGGAGATCCAGACACCTGACCGGGAGTACCAGATCCCTACGTTGAATATGGAAGAAGGTGCTAGGCTGAACGACGGGAGTGATGGAGATGATGAGCGGATTGAAAGGCGGAAAGCATGGGCGCAGGCGAAGGCGCCGAAGATGAAGACGACGAGAGTGAAGGGAGGGCCGGCACCGCAAGAGCCACTGCTGCCGATAGCGCGGAGAAGATCCAGCTGGTCTTCATTTTGGGTTTGAGCAAAGGCGCAATCTACTATCCAGGGTTGAGATGTGTTTATCTATGATATCACTACAATTGAGGCGCTGTTACGAGTGATGTGCTTGGGTAACATTCCTCCAAGCTCCTTGGCCACCCTGGTCATCCCAGTCGAGATTAGGGTAGATTATACGACGTTAGAGACGACGAAGCTTAAGTTTACTCGACTATAATACAGTGCAGTATGGTAGGGTAGTGTATGAAATGCTATGGTATTATATGCTATGAGTAAGGGTACTAATACAGTACATGCTTGCTTATACGTAGTTTACAGTGTAACCCAGAGTTGCTAAAGAGGGAAGAAGAGGATTGGAAGAGTCTATTGCACGCCATGAACAACTCGAGTAAACCAACACGGGGATAAAGAGGGGGGAAAGAGAGAAAGAAAGCTAAGAAAAAAAAAACAACTCCAGCAGACGAAGAAATAGGCCAAAGATCCCCAAGATAATAAATTAGATTGAACCGCACACTAGCCGCCATTCATCAACCTACGATAGCGAAACCCGCACCCAATCAGCCACCCCACAAGGCCCCAAATTGCAGTGAGAACTCACCCCTCCTTGATGACTTCAATCTTCCTCCCACTACCCTCCAGATTCTCCTCCAAACTACTACCAGTCGTTTTTACCACTCCCTTCCCCTTCCTCCCCTTCACCACCTCCTCCCCCTTCCCCTTCTTCTCATCCTCCTCCGCGCACCCACACTTATACGCTTCGCCCACCGTCATGCAATCAAACACCTCCTTCCCCAACCGCTCGTTGACAAGATTATGCACGAAGCACCCCCACTGACTCGCCGCGACACGCCCACTCGTTTGCGGTGGGTACTGCGCCAGCAGCTTCTGGAAGTGTTCCGCGCACTCCCCGCACGGGTACAGTCTCGCGAAAAGCGCCAAATACTGCGCTAGCGCGGTGCGTTCGTCCAGGCTCGGTGACTCCGGGAAGCGCGCGAGCGTCATGTGGAAGAGTTTCCAGCCTGCGCGACCGAGTTCGGCTTTCAGCGTCTCGTTTCCCAGGTGCGGCATTATTGCGCTACCGGCTAGGATTGATGAGGGGATAGGCGGGGGTTGCGCCAGGGCTGTTGTGGGGAGGTGGGGAGGTGGCGGTGGGGGGGTGGGTTTTGTGGAGGGGAGGAGGATGTAGGAGAAGAAGAGGAACAGGGTGAAGAACGTTGCTAACAGGAATGGTTTGTTTCGTGTCATTTTGGTGTTGCCTGTCCTCCTTCTCCTTCCCTCTATTTTCTAGTGGTTTTGGGTCGGGGTCGGGGTCGGGTGGTTATGTTGTGGTGTGTGGTCGTTGTTTGAATGGGAGAGGACAAAAAGTAAAGGAGGAGGAAAAGCCGGTAATAATGCCCTTGCGTAAATTTGCCTCCCTTCTCCCTACCGTCAGCCAGCCAGAAAGCAACAATTTTTAAACAAGAAAGAAAGAAAGAAAGAAAGAAAAAGAGGGGAAAAAAGAATCGGATGATGACAAGGTCTCATGTATGATACGATATGGTTTGGGGATGGGCCCATCTTTCTCTCCCTCTCCCGTACCGATGTAAAGGATTATTATGGATAGAGCTCACCGGCGGTGCGAACGGCGTAGGTTTTAGTTTTTTGTAGTGGCAGGACGAGAGAGGTATTCAATATATCATTGCATCTCTTGCGGTGGAGGAGTACCGGTACCGTAGATCGTAGTTTTGTGCCGGAGCATGAAGATGATGCGTGGGGTAGACTGGACCAGCAAACTACCGTACTTTGTGCCGCACCGTATGATATGATTTTCGGGGGGGGATTCAAAGAAGAGAAAAGGGAGCCTTGGGAAGAGAGAAGGAAGAGGCCGCAAGGTGCCGGTAAAGTACAGTATGATACTCTCTTGATTTCCCTGCCCCTTTCTGTGGCTTTAAGCTACCGTAACCTCCCTGCCCTTCCCCCCCCCAGAGTTCGCTTAGGCTAAGTATTTATGGTACCGACAGCAACCAAATTCTCCCACCCACCACCACCACAGAGTCCCGAATAGATACAGTACATTGCGGCGCGGCAGAGTGAAAAATCCGCACATAATTATTCCCCGGAAGAGAAGGAGAAGGCATTACAGAGGGGGGGGGAATTCAAGAGAATGAATCTCTCACTTAATTCTATCAGAGTCATCTCGGGTGCAGAGCAGGTGAGATAATTATCGACCTATGAAAAGCTAAAATCCAGCGTTTTTTTTGTTCTTTTTCCCCCTCAAGCTGGCGTAGGGAACCAGTACGAGTAAACAATCTGTGTGGAGCAAACAATCCGTGTGGAACAAACATGTATGAATAGTGGTAAAGGTATGAACTGTACGCTAAGTTAGGCTAGGGGATAGGCTGATTTCGCATTAATAAGTTTGGCCACCCCTTCTCTCTCCTGTCCCCTCCTTACATACCCTCCCTCACCCCGCATTTTGTCTGTCCTTTCCACAACGAAAGCACAAGAGCAGCCCCCCTCTCAGTGGGGATCGAAGCTTTCATTGCATCATACCCGGACAATTGTTTGGTCTACAAACAAGGAATCCAACAGAGAGATTTAAATAATTGAAAGAAAAAAAGAGGAAGAAAAAATGGTATTCCCACCGCCTCCAACTGGCTCCATCGGTCTGTTCCCTCTCCCTCTCTTCCTCCATTCCTCCTCTCATCGCAAACTAACCAACACTAAACCTCAGACTGGAGCAACATTGGCTTCCGAGTCCGCGAAGTTAATGGGCACATCCAAAGTACCTACTCCATCCACACCAAGCAATGGACCACACCAACCTTCATCCGCTCCCCCATCCTCCCAATCCACGGCATGGCCCCAGCCCTAAACTACGGCCAGCAATGCTACGAAGGGCTGAAAGCCTTCCGTTCCGCCTCTTCCGACTCAATCCACATCTTCCGCCCGCTCTCCAACGCCATGCGCCTCGAGCACTCCGCCGCCTTTGTCAGCATGCCCGCCCCGCCGACGGAGCTCTTCCTGAGAGCGGTGGAAATGGCCGTCTCCATGAACGCGGAGTTCGTGCCGCCCGCAGAGTCCGGTGCGAGCATGTACATCCGGCCATTGCTCTTCGGCTCGAGCGCGCAGTTGGGGCTGAGCCCACCGGAGGAGTACATGTTTGTTGTGTTTGTGCTCCCCGTAGGAGTCTATCACGGCGTTAAACCTGTGGACTGCTTGATCCTGGAGAACTTTGACCGCGCGGCGCCGAAGGGTACCGGGTCCGCTAAGATTGGCGGGAACTACGCTCCCGTTCTCAGGCACTCAGATGCAGCGCGGGAAGAAGGTTTCGGGATAACGCTGCACACAGACTCCCAGACGAGGACCTACATCGACGAGTTCTCCACCTCCGGCTTCATCGGCGTTCTCCCAGACAAGACGCTCGTCATCCCCCAGAGCGACAGCATCATTAAAAGCGTCACCAGCGACAGCGTGCAGACGATCGCAAAAGACCTATTCGGCTGGGACGTGCAAACACGCAAGGTCAAGGAAGCGGAGCTAGAGGACTTTGTCGAGGTCTTCGCTGCGGGCACGGCCGCAGCGCTTGTCCCCATCAAGAGCATCACGAAGAAGAGCACAACCTGGAAGAAGGTATACGGCGGCGAAGAGCCGGGCGAGGCTTTCGTTGCGCTGTTGGACGGACTCAAGGGCATACAAAGTGGCAGGGACAGAGATCCGTTCGGGTGGAGAGTCCCCGTCCGGGAATTCAAACTCGACGAGGCCACCGGTCAGGGGGTTCAGGCTATTGATCAGATGCCTTAGTTTTTTTCTTCACTTTTTCCCTCCCTTATTTACCTACTTCGCTTGAAATATATCATACCACCACACACATACACACACATATATATATGCACAAAGAGGGACCTACTGCGTGATAAAGTTGACACATGCATGCGTGCATGAAAATCAACATCAGCGATCATTAAATATCACTCGACTAATGAGAACGTGAAAAATCAAGCCCTTCGCACTAGACTAAACCCTCGTAAAGATATCACTTCACGAATTTGTATAATACCACCCACCCATCCGCAAGCTATATCCCAAGCACCATCCAAACCTCAACACCCTAAAGGAGGGAAAAGGCCCCCCGTGCCCATAATACAACCAGATAAGTAGGCATGCGGGGGAAGTAAGAAAGCAATCAAGCAAGGAACATGACAAAACAAAACACCGATACCCTCCTCCCACACACACCATCGCAAAACCACAAGCACGAGCACAGAACCCAATGGGGGAAGGAACCCCCCCCCGAAAAAAAAACTCTCTCTCCAGCACGATCCCCTCCAACCAACCTACTGTGCCAGCCCTCCCCCGCACCAATCGTCACTACCCACAAAGAATCACCCGCACTCGCACAGCCCTACAACGGTAACGATAACGATAGAGGCGGAGGAAAGAAAAGAGAATGTGAATGGATCGTGGGGTGGGTACGGTGCTGTGCTCGAGTGCTGTACATGTCGCATTGGACGTCTCCGACACTGGCTCGCTGGTGTATCGGGCATGGAGTTTTGTGGGTGGTAGATTGCCAACACCGATTATTGTATTGTACTATCGGTACTCCCTTTCTCCCCGGAGGGGGTTGTAGTTTACTTAGAAGATGGGTTTTTTCCCCCTGGACTGTCATACTTGTGGACGTACTGTACAGATGCAGTTCGTGATATGATAGGAGGTAAGCTTGGTTTGTGCTTGATAATATGGTAGTTAGCTATTGGGGCTGTTGCGTCTGGTAAATGTGCCACAGAGCACTCCCCGTGGCTATTGCATGAGGGATATTCCTCGACTAACGATTGTCTGTTCATACTAGTAATATGGATCGCAGCGGGTCATCACCGACGACAAGTCTTACGAAATATCACTTTTTCCTTCCCTTCCCTTTCTTTTCCCTTCTTTTTTGAAACCTGACATATCGTTGACTCAGTGCTATGCGCAGGGTGCCCAAACACTTGATGGTGGGGGTGTTTGGTAAGGTAGCTGTCCGCCAGGTACATCTATGCATACTTATACCATACACGCTCCAGAGTAAAGCGATTGTGTGCTCAAGATGATCAACAAGAAAAGGATGCCAAAACGCCCCCCAAGGCACCAATTTCGGACCTAATCGTAAAATATCACTCTTGTCCCACTGCACCACATTATCATCCTAAGAAATGAAAATACGAAAAATGAAACAGAAAAGGAGAAAAGGAAAATATGAACGAGACACAAACGTGCATGAGGAAGAGAAACTATAAAATAAAATAAAAACAATAAACTCCAAAATACACCCTCCGTCATGAAACCCATCCGACGACGACGTCTCCCATGTTAAAAGGAAAGAAACAGAATAAAATAATGAAGAAGAATGAATGATGTACCAGAATGAAAGTACTGAAGGCGGGAGTGAAGGGTGGATGAATATGAAAAGTGGAAATAAAAAGGAAACGAGAATGAAGCATGAAAACAGTATTTTTTTTGAAATCCAAAAAACTTGCTTCCGCCGCTAAGTGATGACATAAAAAGCGAAAAGAAAAAAGAAAAAAAGGATAAAAAAGGGGGGAAGCTGTGGGATTGGGTATGTTCTCGCTTTTGTCTTTTCTTATCTTTTTCTCGTGGATCGCTCGAGGGGTATAGTTAACCAATAAATTCTCCTGAAGCCATTTCCCACCAGGGTCGTCGCTCTTTCCAAACACGTTGCATTAACAGTCTTGCATGTCGGACCTGAAAGAAGAAAGGGTGGTTAGTAAAAAGTGACATTTTATGACTAAGGAAAAATACGCGGGGAAACAAACCTGCACCAAACCACTCTTCTCTACTTCAATCATTCTCTTCAAAGTATACTCCCTGTGGCCGCCGTCCACCGCCTCACATCCTGCCGAGAACAACGGGAAAAGCAAGCAATTCTCGGCTGTGCCACCAAGACGTACTTTCCCCATAGACCGCACAATCTGCGCAACCGACTGTTGCACGCGCGGATGTTGGGTGTGGTAGTTCAACACGCGCCGGTAAAGGTGAATAAGCGCCGCCCAATGGAACGAATCGTTCGTAGCCAACAGCTCCTCCGTGTCGAAATTGTCCGACGGTGATCCTGGTCTGAAATGTTGGAGCCCTACATGGTGGTGATGACTGTGTGTGCAATTTCCCACCGCCTTGCCACGCGCATCCTCCAGCTCCTGTTGTAATATCATGGCGGCCTGGAAAATTGCGGGCGTTGGTTCCCACTGGTCATAACATTGCTCGTGCATCGCTTGGTTTGTAAGCGCCAAACCTTCAGCGTACTCCCTCTTTTCCTGCTCGCATCTCCGTGCGAGTTCCCCTATCTTCGCCAAGATACTCACACAACGGCTTGTGAACCCAAAGAAGCAGTCCACCGCGTATTCCTCCGCCTCCCCTTCGCCATTGTCGTTTGTCCAGTATTTGCCACTAAAAATCGGCTCCTCTGTGTCACGGCCGCTCAGACTTCCCAACAAATCGAGGTATGCAAACCACCTAACCAGGAAATATGAGACCTTGTCCCTGCTGTGCATCCCCTGAGCGCCTCCACGAGCCAAGATGATCTTCCGGGCCGCGCTGAGATGAGTTTGCCATGTAAGCCCACTCACCGAGAACGGGTTGGGAGAAATGATCTGGTATGAAGACAACATGATGGCGGTCGCTAATGTTGAATCACTCTTCGCGTCTTCGGGGCTATCCAAGGAGGAATGAAGACTTCGTACTGTCTCATCAAGGAACCGGCCGATCCGCTCTGTAGGCTCAGGGTGTTCCAGCAATCTAGCCCGGTGACTTGCCGAATACGCAAGTAGCAGATTCATCAAATGATCAGTTTGAACAGCCACTAGAAAAATTAGACTATTAGCATATAGTATATGAAACCACCAGGGGCAGCGAGAACAGAAACCCACTTTGAGGAAGAATGCTCTTGAAGGGATTCGCCGAACAATCGTGGGGCACTAGCAAGCGAGCGGTGTAATGTAAGTAGTGGTGGAAGTACATCATGTTCTTTCTATTGTCGAGCAGTAGTTGCGGTAGCGGGTCCAGTTTCCTCGGGATAGTGATAGCAACAGGGTAGAATGGATTGTTTATGCCATTTCCATAAAGCCCTGCCGCCCTTCCCATCATCATCATACCGTCGTCGTAGCCACCATAGTCATGTCGAGGAATCTCTTCCACATCATCGTCGTCGTTATCCATGTCGGGCTCTCCGCGATCAACGCCGTAAAGAAGGGTGCGGCTCTGGGAAAGATCTTCCCTTTTATAATCTTCCATTTCTGAAGGATATCGGTCAACATAACTTCCGTCATAGCTATGATCGCTATCAGGCAAAGGGGGAGCTAATAGATTCTCAACAGAAACCCGGCGCATACCCGTACCTACACCGGCAGGATGGTGGTGATGGTCCATCAATCCTGCGATATGATTTATTGGGGCATTGGATATTGGTGTTGATATATAATCCAAAGCTGTGCCAAGAGAAGTAGGGATTGGTGCCACAGTAGCGGTTGGACGAGCGTTGATATGCTCAAACGTATATGGGGAATGAGGAGATGTTTGTATAGGAGAAGTGCTAGTTCGTAGTCTCTTCGTCGGCGATGTAAGGATTGGAGGGGGTGTATGAAACGACTTGCTGTGATATTGCTGTGTTGGAGAGCTGTGTTGCTGGCTGTCATACTGAGCTGTAGGACTCGTGACAAGGCTGGGAGGCCCCGGGGGGCTATGAATCTGACCGTTGCTATTCGGGTAACTAGAAACGGGTGATGCAACCTGGTTAAATGATTGTGAGACTGGTGTATAGGGGGAGAAAAGGCCCTGCTGTTGCTGCTGTTCTGTCTTGAATACTACGTCATTCTCAAAAGTTCTAGAGGGAGGTGTTGTGGTAGTTGGGGTAAGTCCTGGCTGCCATCCATAAGCACTTGACCGATTCTGGTGCTGCTGCTGCTGCTGCTGGATGGTAGCAGGACTTTGTAGCGGCGGAGGCTGTTGTGTAGTGACCGAAGCCAATTGTGGGTCTAGAGGTGCCGATGAAACCGGCATCACTGGGGCACTCGAAGGTTCCGCTACAGAAAACACAGTCTGATAATTCGACATAGTAGTCCTCTTCCCATTCCCAACCCTCGGAACCGGTGGTTTCCTCGCTCCATTACTAGGCGTAGTCTGCACAAAGGTCTGCGGGGAAGGAAAGTGCTGGTTTATTGAGAACTGACCGGCCCCAGGGATAAACTGTGACTGATCGTCGGCATTAGGGTCCTGTCCATTTGCCCCATTCTCTAACTGCTTCTTCTTCAGAGGGCGGCCTCCCCACGATAACCTAATCTTGTAATCGCATTCTTCGTCGAGTCGCTCGCAGTTGCTGCAGCGGGGCTTCTCTTCACCGCATTTTACCTTCCTGGCTTTGCAGTTCCTATTATAAGAAAATGGTTAGCATGTCATACCGCCAAACGACGAGACTCCCGAGAAGCATAGCGAGGTGAGAGTGTTTTTTTTACCAGCAACCGTTCCGGCTCCGACGGCGTATCTCACGACCAGCGACTGGGGCACGGGGCATTTGGTCTGTAACTTTTCTCTCGGGGGTGAGGGTCTCAGTCAACCTGCCGTGGCGACAGAAGAGGTTGGTTTTATGAGTCGACGACGACGCGACCACCCTTGAATAGCGGCTCGCCCCACTTAGGAGAATATCGCTGAAGTTGTTGGTAAAAATGAGGAGTAGTGGGAGAAGAAAGAGAATTAGGCTTGTGAGTTGTTGGATGTTGGACGCCTTGAGGCTGAAACTCAAACGGCAAGTGCGCTGGAGTGGGGCCCTTGGTTGAGATGGAGAATAAAGAGTGAACAGGAGGATGGCTGAAAGGATGAGCGGCGGGGAGCGGGCGGGCTGAATAATGTCTAGTCGATGGCGGCGAAGGAGGTGGCAATCCACCTGGACAACCAAACCAGCACAATCGACAACGGCAGTGGGGGAAAAAATGAAGAGTGAGAGAAACCGTATGCAAACGCTATGTTCAAATGAGCCGAGGGTATATCTGATCTGATCAGATCCGGGCCAGCAAACAGCCGCAATGAGGAACAAAATTAATTTTTGGAAAAGAAAAAAACGGAGAAAAGGGTTAGAGTGGGGGAGGGGGGGTTGGCGAGAGGTGAGAGTAGAGAGGGAAAAGCTCCTCGCTTTACTCGTTTGAGGAGGGAGGGGGGTGCGGAAAGAGAAAGATGGAGATAAACGAGAGAAGGAGAAGAACTGAAGTAAGAAGTGCGAACCGGTGAGAGATGATTATAATTATTGGGGGGCGGACGAGAGCGAGTGAGTGTGAGAAGAGTGAGGAAAGGAAGGCGGACAAGCTACAAACCAACAACCACAACCACAACGACCAATTCAGTACGACCCAAAAAGCAGAAAGCACCACTCAAGGGATCGGATTGGGGGTAGAAGGGGGTTCAACAAAAAAAGGGGGGGGTATGGATGTGGTGCTGGTGGTGGGGAGGGGAGGCGATAGACGGGGGGGAGGGAGTTGGACCTGAGGCGGAGAGCGGAAAAGGCTCTACTCCTCCTGCTCAATGATACACAAACGGGAGAAAAATGAGCGAAGTGGCCGGGGATACCCCAGTGGGTGGGGGGATAAGAGGAATGGGAGAGATGGTTAGGAGATAAGTCAACACTCGAGGGAGAATGGGAGGACGAGCGTGAGCAAGAAGTTGGGGGGAAAAGAAAAAGAAAACAGTCGAAAAGTTGAAAAGTGTGGCACCGTATCATATTACCGGTATCATATCTATCCCTCTGGCCCCAGGGTGTTGTATGGAACACTAAAGTCCATAATACCATAAGAGAGAAGGGAGTCTTATTTCCGTGCTTCACAGGACAATAGATACGAGAACACCGCGCACTTGTTATACACAACTATAAATGAAGCACCGTACAGAAGGTTACGCCTTGAGAACTGTACATCTCTGTATATATGATAGAAGAAGATATCCCAGGAAAATAGGCAAAGCAGAAGTACTCAAATACTGGTATCAGTCTTCATCCCCCCTCCCCTCGAGTTCGAAGATACACAATCCAGTCTGACTTAGTCCCCACCAGCTCCGTAGCTAGATTTTGAAGCAAAGCAGGCCAAGGTATTCAACACTGGCGGGAAAGGGTGGAGGGATTCCTCAGATCTTAATGGTCAGCCAGTAGCCATGGCTACCAATCAACACCCCCTCTTTAATTCCCCCCCCCCCTCCCCCGTTGTGTTCTCAATGCCTGCTGCCGGTACTAGCAGGGTGTCCTTCTAGACTGCGGAGAAAGAGGGTTATCTGTGAATCAACCGTCTACGCCGGTCGATCGAGGACATAAAAAACCGTACTCGAGCACGAGTACAGTACAGTACCGTACAGGGAAAGGACGGGCGAGTGAACATAAGAGTGGAGCATCATACTTTAGACTAGTCCAGTGAGGTGTCGATGAATTTCGGCACAATGACCACAGCACCACACAGTAGTCGTGCTCCCCATGGCAGAGAACTCACTTGACCACAAAACAACAGCGCCAACGAACGCAGGTTATCTCCAGGGTTACAAGTATGGGGAGGAGGAGAAAAAAAAGATAGGATAAAAAAGAGAGTTCAAGACAAAATGAAAAAGAAACTAAGAAGCTTGAGGACTTCTGAATGGATGAGAGAGGGAAAGTGCAAGGTCTTTTTTACTGGCACCATGCATATGTGTGGTTGTCTCTTTGCTCTATGCGTTGAGCTGCAGCAGGGGCAGGAAAGGTTAGGTTAGGACAGAACATCAAGTTCCCCTCCTGCTGCCCGATGGGAAAAAACCCAACCAAGCAAAAGTTGGCACACGCGAGTATCATCACAAACCATCAATCGAAGAAAGAAATAACAGAATAAGAAAATCACAAACCGCATCTCGATTTCCGTAATCCACGAGATGTATTTCTTGTCAGGGTTAGTAGATTTCATACATTTTCGGGGGCCGGGGTGGCCGATTCGAAAGGGTTTCTTCTTTCCCTCTGCCGCTGCTGCTAGAAATCCCTGCAGGACCATCCACTGGCCGAGGGAAGGAGAGCTGCTGAGACCCAGAAGACCGCGGTAGGCCAAACCCCTCAATGAGCCTCACCCGCACTTTTTCCTCATTTACCGCTGTCTGTCCCTCCTCCACATGGATGTAAGTCATTTGAAACCAATGGATTTCTAACCGCTTTTGATGGGAAAAAAAGATGGGAAAAAGGAAAAATTGGAAAAAAAGAAATTATCATGAAGATCATGGGAGTACGGTATCGGTAGGGGTTGAGGACTTGGTTACGATCGAGGTAAACAGCTGTTGTCGAGGCTGAATCTAGACGACTGGACGGAGAATGCCCAAAATGCAATGGAATCACTTTCGATAAGCAATAAGCTTTAAGTCCCCATAACGCGAGAGGGTGAGTGTTGGAAAGCGCAATAGCATGCCAATGGCAGAGTTGGAGTTGGACTGTGACATATGATACTTGAGGGCTCTTTCAAAGGGCTCCCTGGAGATGATCACTATCGCAGAGTAGCACCATACTTTCGCTGAATTCACCACACCACGATCCAACACAAGAAGCAACTTGAGTGCCGTACGGCACCTACCGGTACCTAGATTGCGCCAAGTATCCTGGCATCGGAATCCGGGGACATACATGGATATTGTCCTACTGGAAAATGGAACCTGACAAGAGAGCGACGATGACGAAGGGAAGCCATGCCTCAGCTCTGCAAGAAGGTTCCATTAAGCCCCTATTCCCAAGGCAGGCATATAAAGTTAATGATAACTTGGACGTTCATATCTAGGGGAGTGATATTTGATTGCAGTAGTTCTCTCGCCCCCCTCTCTTGAAATCCCATCATTTACAGTTTCAGACCTTTTCGGAGGATATCTCCTGTTTGCCTGTCATACCAGTATGATATCTTACCTGTTCAACCTAGTGCGCTTAGGGCTACCCCCGACTTTAATGTCATAAGTTTATTAGGGATTGAAATGTGTCCGTAATATTTGGGTCGTGATCAAGGGGTTGTCGATTCGTGGTGTCCTCGAGACCATCTTCCCAACTGCTCTCGGACCGGCCGCGATAATACCACGGCGCTTATTGACCGGCATTAAAGATGGGTCTCCAATACCGGCATGCTCCCAAAGTTGATATCATTTCAGGCGGCCCTATCCAGAATAATTTGGTCGTCCTCCAGAGGCTCGGGATCGTGTAGACAACTACTCGAGTATGGTCTTCTGTTGGCGTTGATCTTGTCATACCCGCACAAAAGAAAGGCAAGTCCAGGTTGTATAAAGCGGCTCCGGGAGGGTGGGAGATATGCAAACCCTTATGGTACGGTGGGACTCGGTATCGTCTTGCTGCGAAACAGCCTCATATTAGTTGTGACATCCACACCTACTTCGTTCGATAACTTGTTTTTGGTGGGCCTGGGTGTACGAGTACCCCTGTCCCTAGGTTCACTAACTTCGAGAGTCAATATCAGTATTAAGTGCCCACCACAATCCTAACCGCAATGACAATAGGAGTGCTGTGTCGTAGGAGAGGCTTTTAATCGAGCTCTCCTCACGGAAGGGATGTTAGAATCAATTATACAGTGACATCTCTGCTCATCAGTCTCCAAACTATAGTCTAACAAGGGTGGGCTCCATTTCCGATGGGCTACAGGCATTGGCATGCTAGAAGAATTTCGGGGAATAGCCCCCAATTGAACGGTGATCCCTCAAGATTAGGTTGCTCCGGGCATGGTACGGCAGCGGTAGGGCCTGAATAGTGCACGAACATCCTTTACCGTACTGCACTGTACCGCATAATTCTCTCCTGTGCTTAGCCAGGAAAATCAAAGGAAATGGGGGGAGGGGAGAGAAATCTCATGAGCGGGGACTTCTGTCCGGTTCACTTTTTCCAAGTCCTATCACTTTATCTCTTGACTTCTGAATACCTAAGGAGGAAACACTTGAGGCTGTATCGGAAGCCTATAAACAATCTTATATATATCGCTCCCCGGAATCGTCGGGCTCGCTAACGTAGATAACTGTTGGATGATGGCACCAACCACTGCAACACAACCTACAACTCGCCTGCCATAAAACTGCGTCAAAGCAAAGCAACACGAGCAAACCCTTGCATACCTCACCGTTGCTCAAGAAAAAACATTCATAAATCAACATCACCATCACTTCCTCCCGATCAAAGAAAGCAAAGCACGCGAGAGTTGACCCCCTCAAAGGCGAATCCCGAATCCCGGCATTTCTGGTTCCAAAGTTCAGCCCTACGCGGTGAGAAACACCCCTGGGGTGCAATCGTCACCACGGGAATCGACAGGCGTCAGACCGTAAAAGAAGCCCCAGCATTGCCGTCTTCACCAAGCCCAGGACGGACGAAACTTGGGGGACGACGAACAGGGATCAGTAACAAGTAATCCTTTGTTACCCTACCGGTACTTTGACCATCTCCATTCTTTTCCGACCAAATCCTCGAGTACTGTACTCGTACCGGTACCGTACCCCTGTTCGCCATCCGCCCAGTTTCGTCGTGGGTGCCATAAAATGCACTACTGTATCCCCAGCAGCCCTGCAATCTCCGGATCCTGAGTCAAAAGCTCTTGAGAAGGGTTAGCGTTTCCCTGACGCAGTACTCGTACCGTATGATACTATGTTCAGTCCCCAACAAGTGTCGAATCCCATTGACTGGTATTCGCAATTCTGTTAACTTAATGTTAACTTGTTGTACTAAACCAATCCTGGGCTGGCGGAGATAGTGGGTTATGCGGTACGGTGGAGGATAGCTCTTGCGATTCACTGCAGTGAATTATCTCCGTCAGGTCGCTCATATCACGGCATTTAGCCCCCGATAGGCCAACAGAATTGCGAAAACCAGTTAATGAGATCCAACACGGCCAAGGGACTCAGACTATGCCGTGTCGGGAAAGTACTAATCCTTCTCAAGAACTTTTGTCTCTAAGCCACGAGATTAGCGACCTGACGGAAATGATGAATCGCAAGAGCCCATACTTGTTCTGTACGATACTCAGCTCTTTGATCGGCAGGGATCAGGGGGGGACTCGGGGACAAGGTGATACCGGTATGTTCCACTGCCAGTCCCTGTCTATCACGTGTGAACGGCTTTCCGTATCTGGGCAACACTCTGGGCTTTTCGTTATGATTTGGTAATGCCCTCGATGGATGGCGTCACAGCAGGGCGGGGCGGTGTATCGGCATACCGGTGGGTAATAGGACCTGTAGCAGAGTACCGGTACTATACTCGAGTATAAAGCCAGGACAGAGCCCGACCTATGATATCATAATTATCCTGATAGTTCAACCTCTCTCCAGGCCATGTGAATTACCGTAATTGAGTTGGGTTTGCGGAGGAGCCACTGTTTGGCTACCGTAGTTATTATACTACCGGTAATGTCTAATCCGTGATGGAAAGTGCGGTAGGCTCGAGAAGACTACAAGTACAGTTATGAATACTCGGGCTGTGCTCAGGTACTGCTGTCAGCTAGACTCGCTACGCTGCTGGTGCAGTATTGGTACTGTAGCGTATCGTAGGTTGCCCACCCTACTTGGCTATTCGGATATCATGTCGGTCAATCTGGATTGGTTCAGCCGCACTCACCGCACATACGGTAGTCTACCGGTACTCTAGTAAAAGCACAGCGGGCCCGATTCGCGAAACGTGCAATATCTTATCAGATCTCATAGATCGGCCGTTACCAAGCGCCGGAACTTGGGAGATCCGGGTTTGATTCAAAAAGGAGAGGTATTGACTGCGCTTTTGCCTACCTGCTTCACACCCGTCCTGCCTGCTCAGTACGAGTCCTTCCCCCCTTTTTGGCCACCACATCACCTCAGGAGCCACCCTAATCGCTTTGATATCGCAATGGCCGGCCGGTCCTCTCAGCGAATCCACTCTCCTAGTAGAGGAATTTCAATGCTTGTTCACGCATGTTTACCACCTTCATAGCTCGGGTAATGAATGATCAGTGAGCTTTTGCTAATGCCGTTTTTATAATAGCTCGCAGGTTTAATTAGCTTTTCCAATTCTTTTGATTTGTACCACCTCCCCCTCCTTGTGAAGCTGATATTGAAATCAATACCGGTATCATATCACAACGCAATGCCAGAACTAACCCCTTGTCAAGCCTTCTCAAAAATCCAAACGAAATGTACGTACGCTTCTCAGACAAACAATCTAATGCGGAAAAGAATTCCCACCCCTAATCTATATCTCCCACCTGGGATGATTTCCCGTCCGCCCGTTGCCAAACTGACCAAATCATGCATCATGTATATAGAAGTAAAGGATATGGGTGTGTATTGCTGCCCCCCCCCTCCTCCTTCCTCTCTCTTACTTCCCCGTTCCTCTCCTTCCCCCCCCCCCATTTATCCGGCACATGATGGACTAATTCTCGGTACTGCACCGTATCAACAGCTGGCACTTCCAGTTTCTTACGTAAGCCCGCAACCCCCGCCCCGTTCTCCTCCCACTTCTTTGCCCTAGCCTCTCAAGGGTGTACTAATGCCCGAACCTATCGATCTGCCGGCGGAGGAAGAGAAATTGCATTCGAGCGGAGGAGATCCGGTTTTCTATCTTTTCATTTTCTTGTCGCTAATTTGGTAGCAACATTATAACCTCACAGCATTATCGCCCTAGCCCTCGCAACAATAACCTTTCTAGTAGGGTTTCTAGCAGACCTCTTCCTCTGGCAGAATGCCTTCATCGTCAAGAATTGGCTTGCGGTTGGAAGCGCTCCGCTGGAGGTGTTGATTAGTATATTGTATTGGGGCATCAGCGCTGTGAATTCCAACCTTTTCTTAATTCTAATAACCTTTCCCTACATTACCAATATATGATGCTCCTACATATACGTTACCGTACTTGTGCACGATGCGACATCTCGTCCCGGGCTGCAGGCTAACCTGAAGGGGGAGGGAACGTGAACACTTCAGATCGATAGAGACCTAGTTGTACCACCTGAAATGCTGCTTGACCCTTTTGTCGGTCAGTCTCCTCATCCTCTTCTGCATATATTGTGCATACCCGTCCTGCCTTGTCACTAACCTCTTCTTTCTCTTTTTCATTTTCTTTAAGACATGGGCTTTCACCTCTTCCCCGCACTGCTTCTACTCATCGACGTTCTGCTCCTCTCACCGCCATGGGCGTTTACTTTTCTGCCCGCATTGTTGATCCCCTCGGGGATTGCTACCGGGTATTGGGTCTGGCTGGAGCATTGCTTCTCTGTTAACCAGAATTACCCATACCCGTTGTTAAATGTTATTGAGCCCAAGGGAAGGATCGCAGTGTTTGTTGGCAGTGCGGTTATGATGATGGTTTGTGCTTTGGGAATCGGGTGGGGATACGGGAGGGTTAATGGGGTTGCTAAGGAGGTGGAGAAGAAGGGGGCGTAGGTCTAGTGGAGCGGGTGGGTGTACTTGGCGCTGAGTGAGGAATTATGGAGGCGATATATGGGCTGTGTATACGGAACGGCAGGGACAGATGCGACATCGGTGGTGGTGCAGATGAGTAGTTATGAATAAAATGATAGATGGAGGGGCAAAAAAAAAAGGATCCGATTTGAATGCTAGAAATACAAACATAACTTTTGGTCTACCACCTGGCCGTCGGGAGTGTACTACTGCTATAAATAGTACAATTATTTACTCGCTGTACAATACATATATAGATAATGGCATACGACACATGACACCCGACCTTTCCTCAATCTAGCCTTCGAACGAAAGCACAACCTTCCCACCATCAACTTTTATACGTAGCCCTTGAAGCACCGCCTCCCCGGGATCTTCATCATGAGTTCTCACCTCCTCCTGAAGCCTATCCAAGAACCCTACGAGTCCCAATTCCTCTTCTCCGACTAGCTCCACAAGCTTCTCTTGACTCATCCTCGCCCTCTCCTCCCCCCCACTCTTCCTCTTCTTCTTAGCCGGGGTCTCCTCCGCAGAGACGCTCTTACGCTTCTTCTTGTTGTCGACGGAATCGGCGGCGGCGGGAACGAAGTCGGGTCTAGCTTCCGTTGTGGTGAGAGAGCTTTTGGATTTCTTACCTTTCTTCCCCTTTTTGTCCTTTTTGGATTCCTTTTTCTCCTCCTTGGGGCGTTTCGGCTGGTCGGGGGATCCGGCAGCAGGGGCGGAGTTGGGGCTAGCTTCCGGTGTGGCAAGAAAGTCTTCGGATTTCTTGCCTTTCTCGTCTTTTTTGGATTCCATTTTCCCCTCATTGGAGGGATCCGGCTGGTCGGGGGATTCGACGGCGGGGGCGGAGTCGGGGGTAACTTCCGGTTTGGCGGGAGAGTCTTCGGATTTCTTCTTATCTTTCTTGCCCTTCTTGTCCTTTTTGGATTTCCTTTTCTCCTTGGAGCGTTTTGGCCGGTCAGGGGATTCGGAAGGGAGGGCGTCGGCTATCGGGGTATCCTTAGCTTCGGGCTGGCTAACCTCGGCGGCAGGGGTAGCGTTTGCTTCCGGAGATCTCTTCTTCTTTTCCTTCTTGCCCTTCGCTGTCGGGATAGTCGTAGTCACAATCGTATCCGCAGTAGTAGCACCATTTTCCATTCCCTTCCCACCCTTCGCCTTCCCCTTCTCTGGTTTGTAGAAACTCCCCTGATGCTTTTCTGCCTCACTAATACAACTCTACTCCCCCCAGTTAGCAAATTGGCCAGCGGGAGGGCAAAGAGGAAAGACGGACGGTATGACCCTTCCACTGCCCCTCCATGAACGTCTTTGAGCAGTCAATGCATGTGTAGTAGGCCCCACGACAGCGCGCAGCGTGAGAGTCGAGTTTAGGCTTTTTGAGGATGTCGGAACAGATTTCGCAGGAGACTGTGATCGTTTGTTAGGATTGGATAGTGGGCCCTGGTGGGCGGGGGGACTTACAGGAGACCATTTCTGGGAATTGCGGCGGTGGGAGGTAATGGTGAGGTTGGATGGGGGAGTTTTTTTTTCTTCGAGGAGAATGAAGGAAGGAACTAGCACGTGTAGGGTTCGGTTGTTATCCCCTCAAGTGCTGAGACATTCAGTCCAGTTTTAAATGTTAAACACTAGCCCATTCGAGTAATCATGACAGGAAAAACTTCGGGTCCCCAAAGTGGCGTAGTGCTCAGAACTACTGCGAAATCTGTACGGTTGAGCATGGCCATGATTGAAACGAGTGAGAGTCTTCGTAGATTTCCTCCCATCTTCGGGTGGGGGGGTTTTGCTGGGGCGGCCGTGGCCTAAACTACACTTAAGTCTTGGCAAGGTTCAGTGTGGCGACTACAGGACTTTTTCGTCGTTTTGCTGCGACTATCTTGACAATAGTTGAAGCATGAACCACACAAGCAAGCCAGAATGAGCCTCTCTAGTTCAGCATATCAGTTTCATGGGTTCACAGGCTGCTCACTGACAATTTCAAATCTGGGCGACTCTTGGTATGATGATGATCCTGCTTGTTGTGCTTACATCTCAAAGCTTACAGTATTGGCAAATAAAAAAAATAAAAAAGTGGCATGAAGGGACAAAAGCTTTCATGTAAATTAAACAAACCAATAAACCCACTGATGACTGTCTTATTAAAGAGCAGTTCTTAAGACTGTCAAAAGCTGCACCACCAAGCACTATTGTGTATTGGGAAAGGTTAGGTGATAAGACTGTCCAACCTACGACAGTCTTAGCAAAACCTCCCTAATAGGGGAGTGTTCAACATTTAAAACCGTGCTGAATGTCGTAGTAATTGTGGGGTTAAACTGCTTTTGGGATGGTCATATTCTATCACTCGTTCTCGGTGCTTCTTTCCCCGCTGATTCTCGAGATGGATGGGCTCGCGATGATGAGGGGGGTGTGATCTTTTTGGGGTCTGGTGAGCGTCGGTATGGCACAACATTCCTGGTCCTCAAAGTGGAAGTTCCCCCTTTTCAGTTTTCCATTGTTACGAGGAGGATACTCGAGCCGAATCACGGAACCGGTAGTCGGTTCAAGGGCGCACTTATCACGATGCTTGATCCATTAGCGAATCTAAATGCGTGGTCGATCCCCGACGCCAGTGCGGCACTGAAATGAGGAGAAAAACCGGGGAATGGCATATCGGACATGCAGCCTGGCAAGTTTTTCATGTTCAGCCGTAAACAGATCCAACACCAAGTGCAAGGAGTGAAACGCCAACCATCACGGGAATCCGTCTTTCCCATCGAGAATTGATTATCAGGGTCCTATACAGAGACCCATACTTCTGACTGAGTTCGCCTGTGCTCTTCGTGGTGGGTCCTGGAGCGGTGTCTGGCCTGAGTGTGAGATCTGGGGTATCGGTTGCTCTAGGTGTGTTTAGTGCTCTGCTGGTGGGTGGTTGTGCTTGGTTGTTTGTCTTTTTGGCAGTCTGTCGGTTGGGGGGCTGTGGTGGTCTTGCTTGTCTGTATCATAGGTTTTGCTAGAAGAAGTGCGGCAGTGGTAGGTGGTTAGCGAGTGAGGTGGTATGATTGGGTGGTGAGGGTGAGGGTGATGTAGTATGATAGTTGTTTTGTCATAACGCCGGTTTGGGTCAGACTAGTCTTACCTTGCAAACCCGAACGGGGAGGATGTCGAGTGAGGTAATTCGGGGTGGTCTCTTGCTATGATATAATTAATTGATAGGGCAGGAGTTACTTGAGCAGTTGCACTATCTATGAGCCTTTGGTGAGATTTCTGCACCGGGGCTTGTTCCTGTGTTGCTGACTAATGCCACTTTATGTCGTTCGATACTTTCCCTTTGCTTTGGCCGTCATATTTTCGGCTTGCCATATTGCAGGTCTTTGGGTTGGGGAACTGGTATTACCGGTACTCGAGTATATATATATATATATATCTCCCTCACAGTATCGCTTTTTCTTTTTCTTTTTTTGCGCGGATGGAATCAAGTCAGCTTTGGTGTAACTTGTTGGTCACGCTTCCGCAAAGTTCCGTTGAGGATTGTGATATGTTACCAGTCTGCCGGTATCGGTACTCCTCATGGGCGATGTCTGCTGACACGACCGCTCTTGGGTGCCGCAGAATTTCAACTTTCAGGCAAGTCTGACCTTATGAGTAAAGTACAAGTACAAGTGCTAGTACTTGTACTTGAGTATCGTACTCGAGTACCGTACCGGTACGAGGGCTTTGTGGATGCGAGGGGATACCAGTAGCAGTGCTATGGTTGTGATTCCAGCACATCAAACTCCTCTGTGATCGCCACAATATTTGGACCTTCCTCGCCGGCGATTTTATTAATTGCCGACCAGCGACTCTATCTGTTTGTCAATCTCCGCCTATGAGTTGCTTGACATCATAAATCTAATTGTTCTGGGTCACTGGGTCTGGTGTCAATGGATAGGAGGGGTACAAGTACGAGTATATCCACAAATCTCTTGCTAAGCTGTTAGTCTATCGTACTTGAGTTGAGCTATTCGGCACTCTTCTGGAGTGCCGCCTTCGAAGGTCGCCTAGCTCTTTCGAACCTTGGCACGGACAATGCTACAGTGGTTGATGGTGATCGGGTTGCCGGTGCTGCCGTAAATTATCGAGGATAAACGCGCCTGCAGCCCTTGTTTAGTAATCATAACTTACCTTTTCCTTTTTCCGCTCTTGCTGCGTGTTTTTCCATTCAAGCTTCTAAAAACCTGCTGGTTTCTGTTCGCAATAACGATGACTTACTTTAGTCAGAATACGAACTCTTTCAATACCACCACCATCATTGACACTGTGCTCATTACGAGTGCTGACGGAAGAGCCGAACTTCTGTCCTGGCTTTCTCCACTGGAACCTCAGACGAGGCACCAGGATGTGCGTATACGGCGGTACGATGGTATAGGGGATTGGCTTTTGGAGACAGCTGAATTCACAAGATGGCGAAATGGTCATGATGGGTCCTCTGTTCTTTACGTTTCTGGAGCCCCGGGGGCTGGAAAGACTTATTTAAGGTATATTCTGTGGTATCCCGTGCGCAGTGGTTGCTGTTGACGGACTACGGTCGTAGTTCCCTAGTTGTCGACACCATTTGTAACGAGAATCGAGAGCAACATGTGGGAGTAGCTTGCTTGTACGTCGATTTTCTTGAACAGGAAGACTGGTCCGTAACAAACATGATTGGCGCCATCCTCAAGCAGTTTGTGGTTGCGTTGCCTAAGATTCCTAAAGAAATCTACCAAGATTTCCTGAGTTCAACGGAGCATCTAGGAGGACGAGGCCTTTGCCTCCCGGAGTTGATTCGGATGTTCCGGATTGTTTTGCCGTCTTTCCAGCGTACCTACATATGCATTGATGCCTTGGATGAAATCCATGTGGCAAAGCGGCCCGAACTTCTCAAGTCTCTGGACCAAATCATCCAGAATTCGCCTGGGGCCCGGCTGTTTATCACTGGCAGACCGCATATCAGGGAGGAGCTCGAAAGGCACCTCATGGGATCCGTGAATTGTGTAATTTTTCAGCCGAGCCAGCGGGATATCAGGAAGTACCTGGCTTCTAGGTTGCAGTCTGACCCGGAGCCGGGATCAATGGATGAAAAATTGGAGTCAGAGATCATGACTAAGATTCCTGAAAATTTTTCTGATATGTGAGTATTGGTAGAAGTATTGGTATTCTTAGTCGATGTCTAACAGGTGGAAAGGTTCCTGCTCGTTTTCTTGCATTTCGAAGCTATTTTGGGAGAGACGACGATTGCTGGGAGAAGAAGAAAACTCAACCAGCTGGCAAATGGTCTGGCTGGTACTTATAGCTCAACATTGGAGCGCATAAGACGGCAACCCGGAGACAGGCCAAGGCTGGGAATGGCGGTCTTGATGTGGGTATGCCTAGCGGCACGACCGCTACATGTTGGCGAGCTATGCCATGCGGTCGCCGTGGAACCTGGAACCCTGGACCTTGATGTCAATGGCGTCCCTACGATACAGTTGTTATTAGGATGCTGTCTTGGCCTCGTGGTTGTTGATGAACGAACATCAACGGTCCGTCCAGTGCATTTCACCGTCAAAGAATATCTGATTTCACGGGGCGATATTTTCCTTAACGCCCATTCCACACTTACCGAGGTTTGCTTAACATATCTGAATTATCGGTGTGTGAATGAACTCCCATCGAATACTCTCACAACTCCGGCTGCGTTGCCATTTCTTAGATACGCATCATGCTATTGGGGTATACACGTTGAGGAGCAAGTTACGCCAGCTGTGAAAGCCCTTGCTCTTGGGCTTTTGAGCCAGTATCCTAATCACATATCTGCCTGGGTATATTTGCTCGAAGGAGGTGACCTGATAGGCCGTGTGGCGAATAAGATGATACCGCCACCGCATTCCATGATCGCAATGGGATTCACTGGTCTGCACTACGCTGCGTCTCTCGGTATTAGTGGGCTTGTGGGCGATCTTATGAGGACAGAACCTGTTGACATTAGCACGATAGACTCTTTTGGGTGCACACCGCTGTTGTGGGCTGTCATGGGTGGTCAAGTGAAAGTAGTGAAGCAGCTACTTGAAGGACAAGGTTCCGGGACGCGCTCAGCTACTCGGAAGAGACGATTACCGGCGCTTTCCTCGACACGGATTTGGCGTCGGAGGATCTTGGATCCTGTGTGGGGTAGAAAGAGGGTTAACCCAAATGTGAAGGATGTGCGGTGGGGTCGAACACCACTTTCTTGGGCTGTTGGTTATGGACACAAGGAGATAGTGGAGATACTCCTAAACCAGAAAGATATCGATCTTAACTCGCGGGACTTTACTGCTGCGACACCTCTATCATGGGCAGCGAACGAGGGGAAGGAAGAAATGGTGAGGATGCTGCTGGGACAGGAAGGTGTCAGCCTCGACGGAGTGGATAACGCCGGCAGAGCGCCGCTCTATTGGGCTGCCAAGAATGGACATGTGGAAGTGGTGAAGCTACTGTTGGACCAGAAGAGCGTAAATCCGGACAGGAGAGACACCATTTATGGTAGAACAGC